GGGGTGGATTAGTGTGGATTAATTAAGGGTGTGTGTATCAATTAAGGGGGTGGATTAATTAAGGGGGTGTGGATTAATTAAGGGGTATGGATTAATTAAGGAGTGTGGATTAATTAAGGGGTGTGTGGATTAATTAGTGTGGATTAATTAAGGGGTATGGATTAATTAAGGAGTGTGGATTAATTAAGGGGGTTGTGGATTAATTAAAGGGGGGTGTGGATTAATTAAAGGGGGTTGCAGCGCGGGAAGGTTTATTTAAGGGGGTAGGTTTAATTAATGGGGGTGCAGGTTTTTTTTAATTAATGGGGTTGCAGTATTTTATTTATTAAGGGAGGATGTGCACTGCAGATTTTTGTTAAGGGGGTGTGCAGGATTTTAAGGGGGTGTGCAGGTTTTTGTTATTAAAGGGGGTTGTGCAAGTTTTTTTTATTTAATAAGGGGGTGTGCAGGATTTTAAGGGGTGTGTGCAGGTTTTTTGTTATCAAACGTGGTTGTGCAAGTTTTTGTTTTTTTTATTAAGGGGGTGTGCAGGGTTTTTTATTAAGGTGGGTGTGCAGTGTTTTTTATTAAGGGGGTTGTGCATGGTTTCTGTTTTTTATTAAGGGGGTGTGCAGTGTTTTTGTTTGTTTGTTTTTTTTTAAATTAAGGGGGTATGCAGGGTTATTATGTGTAGGGAGTGTATGAAATTTATGTTGTCAGTGTGCAGGATTTTTATATAAAGGCCGAAGGGCAGGGGTTTTCTAGAGGGGGCGAGACAAGGGGCTTTGTAGAAAGGGGCAGAGCAGGAGTTTTCTAGAAGTTTCTCACCTGCCCCTTTCTACAAAAGCACTGGTCTTCCCCCTGCTAAAAAACTGGAACATTTATACAAAACTTCTGCCCTGGCCCCCTTCTACAAAACCTCTGCCCTAGCCGCTACATCTTTGAACCCAAATCCTTTTCCTATGCTGTTTCTAAGGATCGGCTCAATGAAGTGGTCTGGGTGCCAGGTCCCTCTAGTTTTAACCCTGCAGCTGAAAACATAGCAGTTTCAGAGATGTTTCACTGAGGGTTAATTCAGCCTCTAGTGGCTGTCTCACTGACAGCCGCTAGAGGCGCTTCCGCAATTCTCACTGAAAACTCACTGTGAGAAGACGCTGGACGTCCATAGGAAAGCACTGAGTAATGCTTTCCTAAGGGCAGTTTGAATGCGCACGCGGCTCTTGCCGCGCATGTGCATTCGGATCTGCCGTCGGCAGGGGGAGGAGAGGTCACTAGCGCCGAGGGAGCCCGACGCTGGAGAAAGGTAACTGGCTGAATGGGTTTAAAGGGGTTAAAACCCCTTCAGCCATTTATCTTAATCCAGTGCCGGGCTCCCTCGGCGCTGGTGAACTCTCCTCCCCCGCCGACATCAGCTCCCGAGTGGCCTTTCTCAATGCTTTCCTATGGACGTTCTGCAAGCTGGATGCGATTTTTGCATCTGGAAGGTTAAAATCTGGGGGAGCTGGCACCCAGACCACTTCATTGAGCTGAAGTGGTCTGGGTGACTATAGTTTCCTTTAAATACCCTGGGTTGTCTACTTTTACAAATGGTATGCCAAGATGGGAAATATAAGACAGATATCGCACTAGCGAACCCTAGAGCCAAAATAAATGTAGTATTTTTCTGCAGAAAACACCAATATGAAGCGAAATCGACCAAGCGGGTCTCAGCATCGAAAAATTAAGAAGGCAAAAGAAAAGTCAGCTGAGGCGATGTCTGGATCAATTTTAAAATATGTTGCACCTTCAACATCTACCGCAGTAGGAGAAAGCGCTGAAGACATTCAGTCTGTTGAATCCAGAGGTGAAATGCCTGAAGTATCTTCTCAAGAAGCTTCATATGGGAAAGCGCAAGAATTGGAGAAGATCATTTTATCTTCAAGCGGTGAAAGTGATGTAGATGAAGGCGATGCCATCAGCAAGACTCTGATGATGATGATGATGATGAAGAAGAAGAGGAGACTGTTCGACTGTCAGTTCATTCTGATGTTGCTGCTTGGCCAGTTCCAGTTCCAGATGTTTTAATAGTGGACCTTATTAAGAGGGGAAGTGAACCTTTCCAAAATAGAGATGGGCCATTCAGTCCTGATCAAAGGCAAGGAGAGAAATCAAAAGGGAAGAGTCGACAGTTGACCACTGCATGGTTCTATAAGGCTCTGCCTAATAGCGAAAAAAATTAATCCCAAGGCTTTGTTTATGCCATGTGCTAACCATTCCCTGAACCTATGTGGGGTGCACTCATTTGGAAGTGGTGCTTCCTGTGTGACCTTTTTTGAAACATTGGAGAGAGTGTATTCCTTTTTTACGGTTTCTACACATCGTTGGGAATTGCTGATGGAAAATGTAGGTGTGACAGTGAAAAGACTTTCCCAAACAAGATGGAGCGCTCATTGTGATGCTGTGAAGCCAGTGAGGGCAAATTTTGAAAAACTGACTTCAGCCCTTGAAAAGTTATGTAATCCCAAAGAAAATGTGGACACAAGAGGATCGGCTCAGATGTTGCTGTCTGCCGTATGTGATTTTTCTTTTTTGTGTTACCTTTCTTTCTGGTGTGAAGTTCTAGAAGAAGTTAATATAACACAGAAATATTTGCAAACTGTGGGACTCACTCTTGAAAAGTACATTGTGAAACTACAAGGTTTGAAAGCGTTTCTAGCAGATCAGCGCAGTGAAATTGTGGAGAAGGCCATTTGTTATGCAACTACTATGTGTAAAGAAATGGACATTTCAATGGAAAGAAGAGGGAGAGTAAAGCTACGTAAAACAATGCCAGGAGAGAAGGCAAAGGACGCTGGTCTCACATTGCCAGAGGAAATGAAAAGGGCTATGTTTGAGTGCATTGACCGTTTTCATCACGAGTTGGAAATTCGTTCTCAGGCAATTGAAAAAATCCTTTCAATGTTTGCTGTTATTCAGCCAAGCTCTCTGGTTGTGGCAACAGAGAAAGATATTCGTAATTATACTCCAAAATTGACTGAGATTTTTGACGAATTCTCTAATGAAGACATCTTTAGGGAAACTGAACGTCTTCAGAGGCATTTGGAAGCTGCCAAGATCAGTGTTGAAGAAGCAAAGAAATGGACGGCATTGCAGTTCCTGGAGTTCATTGTTAAATGGGATTATTGTGAATCTCTGCCAAATTTGTCACTGTGTTTAAGATTCTTTTTGACTCTCTGTGTGTCTATTGCTTCATGTGAAAGAAGTAAAATTGATAAAAAATTTCTTTCGCTCAACCATGAGTGAGACAAGGTTGACAAATCTGGCTATACTTTCAATTGAGCATGAATATGCAAGGAAGATTGGCTTTGATGAAGTAATTGATAAATTTGCAGAAATGAAGGCTCGAAGGCAGCGGATGTGAATCATTGCACATTACCTCTGCCGAATAGACTGAGTGGTCACTTTGGATCTGTGTGTTTTTTTTGTTTATAGAAAGCATATTAACTGTTAAGTAAATGTTAATTATTTAAATTTTATTTATTTCTAAGTTAATTTATTTTTCATAGTTCCATTTTTCAAGTTGATATACAGTTTACAAATTTGTGAAATAAATATTATTGAAAACATTGAAAAAATTGTGGGTGTTTTCTTACATTTTTAGTATGGGGGGGGAGGGGGTGCCACACTCTGGGTCCACCCCGGGTGCCAAATGCTCTAGGTACGCCCCTGCCCCTACATAGGGTCACTTGGCAGGTATGGATTGACACCTATCCTCAGGATCCCTGATACACACTGACACAGAGCAGAATAGGGACTGTTCCCCCTACATAGGGTCACTTGGCAGATATGGATTGACACCTGTCCTCGGAGATCATGATACACACTGACACAGAGCAGAATAGAGACTGTTCCTCCTACATAGGGTCACTTGGCAGATATGGATTGACACCTGTCCTCAGGATCCCTGATACACACTGACACAGAGCAGAATAGGGAATGTTCCCCCTACATAGGGTCACTTGGCAGATATGGATTGACACCTATCATCAGGATCCCTAATACACACTGACACAGAGCAGAATAGAGACTGTTCCTCCTACATAGGGTCCCTTGGCAGATATGGATTGACACCTGTCCTCAGAGATCATGATACACACTGACACAGAGCAGAATAGAGACTGTTCCCCCTACATAGGGTCACTTTGCAGATATGGATTGACACCTGTCCTCAGAGACCATGATACACACTGACACAGAGCAGAATAGAGACTGTTCCCCACCACTTAGGGTCACTTGGCGGATATGGATTGACACCTGTCCTCAGAGACCATGATACACACACTGACACAGAGCAGAATGGGGCTGTTCCTCCTACATAGGGTCACTTGGCAGATATGGATTGACACCTGTCCTCAGAGATCATGATACACACTGACACAGAGCAGAATAGAGACTGTTTCCCCCACATAGGGTCACTTGGCAGATATGGATTGACACCTGTCCTCAGAGACCATGATACACACTGACACAGAGCAGAATAGGGAATGTTCCCCCTACATAGGGTCACTGGGCAGATATGGATTGACACCTATCCTCAGGATCCCTGATACACACTGACACAGAGCAGAATAGGGACTGTTGCCCCTACATAGGGTCACTGGGCAGACAAGGATTGACACCTGTCCTCAGAGACCATGATACACACTGACACAGAGCAGAATAGGGACTGTTCCCCCTACATAGGGTCACTGGGCAGATATGGATTGACACCTGTCCTCAGAGACCATGATACACACTGACACAGAGCAGAATAGGGAATGTTCCCCCTACATAGGGTCACTTGGCAGATATGGATTGACACCTATCCTAAGGATCCCTGATAAACACTGACAGAGAGCAGAATAGGGACTGTTCCCCCTACATAGGGTCACTTGGCAGATATGGATTGACACCTGTCCTCAGAGACCATGATACACACTGACACAGAGCAGAATAGAGACTGTTCCCTACATAGGGTCACTTGGCAGATATGGATTGACACCTGTCCTCAGAGACCATGATACACACTGACACAGAGCAGAATAGAGACTGTTCCTTCTACATAGGGTCACTTGGCAGATATGGATTGACACCTGTCCTCAGAGCCCCTGATACACACTGACATAGAGCAGAATAGAGACTGTTTCCCCTACATAGGGTCATTTGGCAGATATGGATTGATACCTGTCCTCAGGATCCTGATACACACTGACACAGAGCAGAATGGGGACTGTTCCCCTACATGGGGTCACTTGGCAGGTATGGATTGACACCTATCCTCAGGATCCCTGATACACACTGACCCACAGAGCAGAATAGGGACTGTTCCCCTACATAGGGTCACTTGGCAGATATGGATTGACTTTGTCCTCAGAGACCATGATACACACTGACTGGGGAGCAGAATAGAGACTGTTCCCCACATAGGGTCACTTGGCAGATATGGATTGACACCTGTCCTCCAGAGACCATGATACACACTGGCCCTTGGAGGCAGAATAGGGACTGTTCCTACATGGGCTCACTTGGCAGATGTGGATTGACACACCTATCCTAAGGATCCCTGATACACACTGACACAGAGCAGAATAGGGACTGTTCCCCCTACCTAGGGTCACTTGGCAGATATGGATTGACACCTATCCCAAGGATCCCTGATACACACTGACACAGAGCAGAATAGGGACTGTTCCCCCTACATAGGGTCACTTGGCAGATATGGATTGACACCCATCCTCAGGATCCCTGATACACACTGACACAGAGCAGAATAGGGACTGTTCCCCCTACATAGGGTCACTTGGCAGATATGGATTGACACCTATCCTAAGGATCCTTGATACACACTGACACAGAGCAGAATAGGGAATATTCACTAAATGCCAAACATTGTTATACAGGGGAATATTCAGTAAATAAGGATAAGGGGGGACCTACTGTCCTCCCCCCTGCCCCCACCCGTGAGCAGTGGGTGGGGGCCATAAAAATAATGAGGGGGGGACCTACTGTATGATGTTGTATCGATCAGGTAGTGTAAGGGTTACGCCCTTACAGACCAAACTCGCAGTTTAACGCACTGCAAACAACCGCAAACAGTCCATTTGCACAACCGCAAACTCCCCATTTGCACAAGGTTAGATACCAAGCTAGCCATGTCCCGTTCCTTGTCCTCACTGATGTCATTGAAGGTCTCTTCCTCCACCCAGCCACGTACAACACCAAGGGTCCCTGAAAGGTGACAACAAGCCCCCTGAGACGCCTGCTGTGTTTGGTCTTCCACCTCCTAATAGCCACTTTCCTCCTCTGACTCCTCTTCTTCAGACTCCTCTCTCTGCATTGCCTCTCTCTGCGTTATTATAAGGTGTGTTAAGTAGTATTATTCCTATCAGTTTAATCCCTGTTACGTCCCCTATCAGGGGACGTGTATATGGCATCGATTTTAGGAACCGGGAGATGGAAAAAGATGCTTGGTCTGTCCTCCTACTTCAAATTTGGGACACTGCGCGTGCAATCTAATGTGCCACCAGATAGGAGTGGTGTGTTAAGTAGTACTATTCTTATCAGTTTAATCCCTGTTACGTCCCCTATTCGTTGATGTGGAGCAAGAAGCAGCAGCAAAAGAGGACTCAGCCGAGGAGGTTATGGAAGAGGATGGAGTAGGAGGAGTAGAGGAGGTGGCAGCATTCCATGCTTGGCAGCCGTCAGCAGGTTTACCCAATGCGCAGTGTGGGGGTGGCCTGCCTCTGCCTGTCATTTTTCTTTTCGATTAGTGGTACTATGCGTGCAAGCTACTGTGACACCAGATATGAGTGGCACTGTGAACTAGCAGAGGTTGGCAGAGTACACGTTGTAGGCCTGACACACCCGCTTTGAGACAACTAACGGCTATTCAATCTATAACAGTGAAAAAAGTTTTTTGGTTTTTAAATGCAAGCTATTGTGACACCAGATAAGAGTGGCACTTTGAACTAGCAGAGGTTGGCAGAGTACACGTTGTAGGCCTGACACACCCGCTTTGAGACAACTAACGGCTATTCAATCTATAACAGTGAAAAAAGTTTTTTGTTTTTAAATGCAAGCTATTGTGACACCAGTGAGTGAGTGGTGGCACTGGGCACAGTATCCACTGTGAGCCTGACACACCCGCTTTGAGACAACTAACTGCTATTCAATCTATAACAGTGAAAAAAGTTTTGGGGTTTTAAATGCACGCTATTGTGACACCTGTGAGTGAGTGGTGGCACTGGGCACAGTACCCACTGTGAGCCTGACACAGATGCTGGCAGACAACTAACTGCTATTCAATCTATAACAGTGAAAAAAGTGTTTTGGTTTTAAATGCAAGCTATTGTGACACCAGTGAGTGAGTGGTGGCACTGGAGCAGAAATGGGCACGGTATGCAGCTGCAAGCCTGACGCAGGCGCTTGCAGACAACCTTCACTATTCAATCTATAACAGTGAAAAAAAGTTTTGGGTTTTTAAATGCAAGCTATTGTGACACCAGTGAGTGAGTGGTGGCACTGGGCAGAAAATGGGCACAGTGGGCTGCGAGCCTGACACACAGGCAGCTTACCAGACAGCCTAACACTATTCAATCTAGCTACACTGAAAAAGTTTTTAGTTTTGGAAATACGCGCTATTGAGCACCAGTGGTGAGTGGTGGCACTGGGCAAAGTGGGCACAGTATGCGGCTGCGAGGCCCGCGACACACAGGCGGCTTGCAGACAACTAACTAACTATTCAATCTAAGCGTGAAAAAAGTTTTTGGTTTTGTGCAGCTATTGTGACACACCAGAGGAAAGAGTGCCACTGTGAACTGGCAAAGGTTGGCAGAGTACACGTTGTAGGCCTGACACAAAGACGCTTGGAGACAACTAACTGCTATTCAATCTATAACAGTGACAAACGTTTTTGGGTTTTTAAATGCACGCTATTGTGACACCAGTGAGTGAGTGGTGGCACTGGGCAAGTGGGCACAGTATACGCTGCGAGCCTGACACACAGGCGCTTGCAGACAACTAACTGCTATTCAATCTATAACAGTGAAAAAAGTTTTTTGGTTTTTAAATGCACGCTATTGTGACACCTGTGAGTGAGTGGTGGCACTGGGCAAATGGGCACAGTATACGCTGCGAGCCTGACACACAGACGCTTGCAGACAACTAACTGCTATTCAATCTATTACACTGAAAAAAGTTTTTTAGTTTTGAAATGCACGCTATTGTGACACCAGTGAGTGAGTGGTGGCACTGGGCAAGTGGGCACAGTATACGCTGCGAGCCTGACACACAGACGCTTGCAGACAACTAACTGCTATTCAATCTATAACAGTGAAAAAAGTTTTTTGGTTTTTAAATGCAAGCTATTGTGACACCAGAGAAGAGTGGCACTGTGAACTGGCAAAGGTTGGCAGAGTACACGTTGTAGGCCTGACACACAGATGCTTGGAGACAACTAACTGCTATTACATCTATTACAGTGAAAAAATTTTTTTTTTAAATGCAAGCTATTGTGACACCAGTGAGTGAGTGGTGGCACTGGGCAAGTGGGCACAGTATACGCTGCGAACCTGACACACAGACGCTTGCAGACAACTAACTGCTATTCAATCTATTACAGTGAAATTTTTTTTTTTTTAAATGCACGCTATTGTAACACCAGTGAGTGAGTGGTGGCACTGGGCAAGTGGGCACAGTATACGTTGCGAGCCTGACACACAGACGCTTGCAGACAACTAACTGCTATTCAATCTATTACAGTGAAATACATTTTCCACAGTATCCACTGTGAGCCTGACACAGAAGCTGAAAAAAAAAAAAAAAAGCAGACTGATGTTCTAGCCCTAAAAAGGGCTTTTGGGGTGCTGTCCTTACAGCAGAGATCAGATGAGTCCTTCAGGACTGTAGTGGACACTGTATACACTAACCTAGCTATCCATTTCCCTATCAAATCAGCAGCAGCTACACTTTCCCTCCTCTCACTAAGCATGCAGCTTGAGAATGAATCTAAAATGGATGCTGTCCAGTAGGTGGGAGGGTCTGCTAGGGAGGGTCTGCTGCTAATTGGCTGGAATGTGTCTGCTGACTGTGAGGTACAGGGTCAAAGTTTACTTAATGATGATGAATAGGGGGCGGATCGAACCGCGCATATGTTCACCCGCCGTGGCGAACGCGAACACGCTATGTTCGCCAGGACCTATTCGCCAGCGAACCGTTCGGTGCATCACTATTGAGGAGCTGATGGAAGGGGACAGAGCCGCAGCTGCTGCAGCACCTCCAATGAGGAAAGAGCAAACGAAATTTGAAATAGAATTCAAGAGCAGGATAGCTCTGTACCCAACCACCCCACCACAGGAGACTTTCGACAGGATCATGGCAGATGTACAGGAATACATCATGGCCAAACAGGGTCAAGCAAACCACCCACCCAGAGAGGGATCACCGGCTCCACCTAGCATCATACAGGGAAAAACAAAAATTCCCTACCAGGCTTTTAAAAACTTCACGGACACAGAGGGTGATATTGATGGATATCTGCAGGACTTCGAAAGACTGTGTCAGCTGCATGAGATCAGGCCCCATGATCAAGTACCCCTGCTGGCTGGTAAATTATCTGGCCGCGCAGCGGAAGCTTACAGAGCCGTGCCGGATGAGGACAGCAGAGACTACCATAAAGTAAAGCAAGCCATCCTAGCTCGGTATGCCATCACTCCAGATGCGTACCGACTCCAATTCCAGGACCTGAGAAAACAGGAGAAGGACTCTCACGCTGAATTTGCACATCGCCTACAAAGAGCAGCCACCGGGTGGATTGAGGCAGCGCAAGCAACCACTAAGCAGGATATCATGCAGCTACTGCTATTGGAACAATTTTACCGGAGATTATCCACCGAGATGCAGAACTGGGTAAGGGACCGTAAACCCTGTACTTTACAAGATGCCGCTAAACTCGCGGACGAGCACCAGGATACTGGGCACGCTCCACGAAGTTAACCCAGTGCAAGCGGTATCAGACAACCGCCAAAGCCATAGGCAAGTGGTCCATATAGAAGGGAAGCGTATGGAAGGACTGAGGGATTCCAGGGCCACCATCACCATTCGGAATGAAAAACGCCCCAGCCACCTTCCAGAGGATGGTAGACCAACTATTAGACGGGTTTCAGGAATACGCGTGCGCCTATCTGGACGACATAGCGATTTTCAGCTATTCCTGGACTGACCACCTGAGCCATGTAGGAGCAGTCTTAGACCGTATTAGGGAGGCAGGACTAACCCTTAAACCCAGTAAGTGCCATATAGGGATGGCCGAAGTACAATATTTAGGACACCGAGTAGGAAGTGGCCAACAGAAACCAGAATCGGCCAAAATAGAGGCGGTAGCCAAATGGCCAACCCCCCGCACCAAAACCCAGGTTTTAGCATTCTTAGGTACCGCAGGGTATTATAGGAAATTTGTGCCCGATTACAGTACCCTGGCAAAGCCCCTCACAGATTTGACCCGCAAGAATCTCCCCAAGTTAGTAGTATGGGCCCCAGAGTGTGAAATGGCATTCCAGCAACTTAAAACTGCTCTTGTTAACGCACCTATACTCGCTGCTCCTGATCCAACTAAACGCTTTCTCGTCCATACAGACACTTCTATGTTTGGATTGGGAGCAGTACTGAGCCAAGTTGGAGCAGATGGCGGCGAGCATCCCGTAGCTTACTTAAGCAGAAAACTTTTACCCCGAGAAGTAAGCTACGCCGCCATTGAAAAAGAATGCCTTGCCGTGGTGTGGGCCCTCAAGAAACTGCAACCATATTTATACGGACAACCATTTGCATTACTCACAGATCACAACCCGTTGGTCTGGCTGAACTGGGTGTCAGGGGACAATGCCAGGCTGTTGCGCTGGAGTTTGGCGCTGCAGCCTTTTGACTTTACGATCCAGTACCGCCCGGGAAAGCTAAATGTCAACGCAGACGGGTTATCCAGACAAACTGAACTTGAGAAGTGATCTGTGGGTACTCCTCCGGACATCCCCAAGCTGATCCGTTGGGATCAGACTGTGTATGCCAGCTTGGTTCTGGGGGAGCATTGTAGCAAAACTAGCCACCAGAGACTATCAATGTATAAGGATGTGTGTATTGTTGCTAAGCCATAAAAATCAATGCTATTTGTATTTCAGGCGAATGAGGGCATTCGTATGCTGGCGGTATGAAAACCCCATAATTCCTAATGAAGTTTCACCAACAGTGAGTTAAACACTGTTCGTGAAACGAATAACATAACGAACGCACGACCACACACAGGGGGTCGTGTGGCACCTATTAACCGATTGCAACAATGTTGCAATCGGTAATTAAGAGTGTTTCTAGGTGGCCGTCGTTTGAATACCGACCACACGGCGGTCGGCCATCTTGTTTCTTTTGTTAGCCCAGCGGTGTTTTGTCGTTGAGCGCCTGGAACTAAAAACAGCTACTCGACGGCGCGAACACCGCTGGACTTCCAGGCTGTTCGGGAACCTCGGACGTTCGGTAGTTTATTCCCCTTATGATGATCGGTATTTTAAAACCTATGTTAGAAATTATGTGTATTTTGTACGGCGTTCGGTTAGTTAGACTGGGAGCTGAGCGGTATTCTCACGAACGATGCGCTCAGCCTCCAGCTATCTACCGAACGTCCATTCGTGTAAAACTAGTGAATATTGTTAAAGTTATATATTTTAATGTAAAATGTGAGTTCTGCTGCACGGAGGGATAATCCCATTAACAGTATATTAGAGTGGGAGTATCCCTCTCGTCCAGCAGTGCATGATGGGAAAAATGTATGTGTTGGTTAGTTTCCCATGTAGTCCCTTACTGTACAACCCCTGAAATGTCAGTAAGGAAACCCCTTGCATGGGGAATCCCATAAATACAGTGACCTGAAAATAAAACCTCAGTTGACCTCCAAGCTATGTGTCGTCTAGTTCTTGGGAGGAAGGGATTGTAACTACGCTACCTGGATTTTACCTGCTTTGTGCCTGCTTGATTCTGTCTACCAGCGGAGATACCGTGGATAATACTACTACTCCGCTACAGGGTTCTCTCTGTATTAGGGTGCTCTCTGTATTAGGGAGGTTCTGTATTAGGGTGCTCTCTGTATTAGGGTGCTCTCTGTGTTAGGGAGGTTCTGTATTAGGGAGGTTATGTATTAGGGTGCTCTCTAAATGAGGGAGGTTCTGTATTAGGGTGCTCTCTGTATTAGGGAGGTTCTGTATTAGGGTGCTCTCTGTATTAGGGAGGTTCTGTATTAGGGAGGTCTCTGTGTTAGGGTGCTCTCTGTATTAGGGAGGTTCTGTATTAGGGTGCTCTCTGTATTAGGGAGCTCTCTGTATTAGGGTGCTCTCTGTATTAGGGTGCTCTCTGTATTAGGGAGGTTCTGTATTAGGGTGCTCTCTGTATTAGGGTGCTCTCTGTATTAGGGAGGTTCTGAAAATAGACACTTAATACTTTTGCAGACAGATATATAGAAAATGGATGTTTAAGACAAAATGGAACTTGGGCTTATAGCAAATATATTATTGCAAATAGCTGACATGTTAACCAATTTTAAACAGACTAAACAGCCTGTCATCTGTATCGTAAGCCCTGGGTAAATATGGGCAAAGTGTATTATTCCCAACAGTTATTTTCCTCTTTTGTCCACGGAAGTGGGCGCATATAGTCAAAGTGGGAATAATACCTATCCCCCGTTCAAGGACCGGGGTCTAGGATTACCAGTCCACCCGATGATCTGGGGCCAGGCAAAAAACCCAGTGGCAAAAACTCATATTTGAGGAAAAAGCACATCTGGGGAAAACCTGAGTGGGGGCCGCGATCGTGTTAGACATGTCATCCCCTCACAGTTGACACCACTTGTGACTTATAATACCCGCACCTGTGAGTACATAGCTCGGGTATCGGGAGGAATTGGGAAACACTTCTTACATATTAATTCATGAGATAAATTATAATCTAGCTTGAAATTCTGACAATAATAACCAGGACCTTGCGTCCTATATCTTTTAACCATTTCCCTATTCCAAAGGTCCAGTCAAAACCAGTCATATCCTCACGCAGTTCCTCAAAACATGGCAATCCATCCTTGGCACACTCAACATATATCAAAAACACACATAGTACAGCTAACTCTGGGTCAGCTAATACTTCCTCTCTCTCTCCAGCTAACTCTACAAAAGTAAAAATAAAAATAAAAATAGTTCAATAGTTCAGCATAGTTCAGAAAAATAGAATAAGTATTTCACAGAGTATAAAGAAATCAGTTTAGACACCAGACATTTTGTTCCATAAAATGGCTAAGGGTAGCAATATGGCTGACAACAAGACAATGTCAGCTTCCATATAGTTCTTAGTTCTTCTTTTGTTTGCTGGATTTTCACCACAAAGCTCTGTGCAACACCCCAATGGTTGAAAGGGTTATTACAGAACCAGCGGTATTAGACAGCACTGCACCTTCAGGACTTTCCAGGTTCTTGCGTGCAAAGTTTATGTCCTCATAAATAAGTATCTCAGTTTCTTCGGCCTGCATGGATAATGACCAAACAGATGTAATTGCAAAATACTTATTGCATGGTCAGCCAGAGAGATTGGTGTGTAGTCCCAGAAATCAGGCGGCACAAACACTCCAGGACGGTCTCTACAATCATACAAACACAAGGATCAATACATCATTAATTAATTACCTAGGCTAAAACTTAAATCAGAGACTAAAGTTAAACTCTTAACTAGTGTAACATGTACTTCTCTCAGTTTTGCTTATAATTCATTGAATTTGTCCTTTATAAAATTTGAATACATAATTTCCCTTTAGAATGCCTTGTAGGGATGAGAGTAGCACTCACTCTATAGAAATGCTTGTTAGGATGAATATTAAAACACTATCATTTGCATATACATTCCCAATAAAACTTTTGTTCCTAAACTTGAACCTTGATTTGATAATCTCAATTAATTACTTTAATAAAATTGGAATGCTTAAGTCTGTCAGTTTTGTGGACCCTGATAACATCTTTGGAAACCAGTGGCCTCTGATAAGGAAGGGACAGCAAACTGTAGACATATGTTATATTAAGTTGCCCTCACTTGTCAGGTCTTGGAAACACACTTATTTTATTGCAGATGCCTCTAGGATACCACGTTACATATTGACTAAGCATACTTATTATCCTATTTTATTTTAGTTATTTCACATTGCGCAGCCTATGCAAACAATGTCTAGGTCCCAACTTCAGCTTGTACATCCTCTAAGAGCCAGCATTAATACTGTTTTATCTATCAAAACTATATATAAAGTATTAAAAACATGAACCATCTGTGTATTAGGCTGAGGTTGTTGGGTGTGGGTATAGCTTGAAAGTTGTGGTTGGTATTGAGGAACCTGCCAGAGTGGGAGTCCTTGAATGCCAGCTGGGCCAGGTTCTCCCCTAGCACCGGGTTCTCCTTTGTCTCCTTGAGCACCAGGTTCACCATTGTTACCCTTAGGTCCAGGGGAACCTTTGGGGCCCTGAGGTCCAGGAGCACCAGGGAAGCCAGGGACATCATCAGTACCAGTGGGGCCAGCTTGACCAGGAGAACCGGGTTCACCACAAGCACCTTGGGGTGAATCCCTGCTATCCACAATTAAAACAGTGCTGAAGTTACCACCTCTACAAAAGTTAGAAACTTTGACCAAATCCTCTACCTTTGCCTTTAAAACTTTTCTGATTCAATCTCCTATCACCTCCCAAATTTCTTTGTCTCGCCTGCTTAGGATCACAGTCCTTGTGACTGATACAACATACCTTTTCCTTCTTTCTATCAAAACAACCTGCTGTATCTTTCTCATGAATCTTCCCAAGACATTCATTTGGGGTCAAAAGGGGCCAGTCACAGACCAACAAGGAACAAAAGTGAACAAGGAGGAAGCATATTCCATATGCAGGTCGGGATTACCGAACTCACACCCCCTCTTTGTGTACCACACAGATATAATATTAATAAGCTTTTAAAGGTTTAATGGATAGTTAAATTTTGTATATAAAGCAAGGTTGTCTAGGGGTATATACATCGACAATGAAAGCATAGCCTTCATATAGGGCTTGCAATACTGACAGTCTGTGTCATGAGCATAATGCAGACATGCGGTTAGGTACTTTTCCATTGTTATAATATATTGAAAACACTAAGACTTTGCAAATTTTTAAAACGCATATTGCTTCCTGTACCTGGGGCCGTGCAAGGATGTAGTTGGGACATATTTCAAATTGAGTATCAAAAGTCTAACCACAAAACTAAATGTTATACGCTTATCAAGAAAACAAGTTTAACCCGTTAGTGCGTACTTTGGATAGCCTCTTTGCATAATCTGGCACCTAGTGAGATTATTATATTTTTTTATTAATCCTTGTAAGGAAATCAAGTATAGCTGAACCGCTTTGATAATTCCTCCTGCAATGCCAGCGTCTAAGGTAGTTCCAAGCAATGAGGTCCATAAGAAATATAACAGCTTCCCAAGATAATCCCCTTGGTAAAGCATACGAATTCCCAAATAACAGTCAGAGTCCAGAATCAGGATACAAGTAGATCTGAGGTCTGGAATCTCCAGCCTGCTTTTTATTAGGGTTACAGACAAAAAAATACACCCCCAGGGGGAGGCATTAAATCACCAATCAGGTACAGGTTACAGCCCCTACCTCCCTCCCCTCTGATAAACAGTTAACTTCATTAAAACGTGCACTATTTTACCCCAGTTCTGGATGTACCCCAAAAACAGGGGGTACACCTTTAAATTGGGCACCGCTGGATAGTGCTCACTGGTGGGGACAATATGTCAAAAAATTAGTCCATTCGGATGAATGGTTCGGGAGTTATGGAGCACTAAAGTTTTGACCGACCGCACGGATCATCTAGCCGAAAATAGTTCTATAAGTTTTGGCCCTGCGGTCGGTCTCCGTTTAGGCGAATAAAAAAGACGAAAGTCCTGCCATCCGTTCGCATCTTTGTGGTCGTTGAAATCCCCATACGAAGTTGCATGTAACTACCGAACGGCCGGTGATTCGTTTTTTTCCGTGCGAAGTTCTGGATGTATGGAGGTCTCAGCGGTGTTCGCCTGTTTGCGTATCCGATTTTAGTTCCACGCGTTTGACGGGCAAACACCGCTGTTCGCACGTAAAATGGCCGCGACCACGTGTAAAGTGCCGAAATGGCGGCCACCTAGAGTTTACACGGGGAATTCGCCTGAATCCATTCGAATGGTAGAAATTATAGCTATATGCCGAATTCCAGCTGAATTGGGTGAATTAACTTGTGCAACAAAGGTAGAAATCCTGATGAACGGAGTCATTTCTACACACTGCTCCCCTATAAGTCCATAGGTCGGCATACCCGCCTAGACCCTGTCGGGTTGGCTTGGGGATGTCCGATGAAAGTACGTTTTTAGGTGTCCAGTTCGGTCTGGCGGGACAGTCCATCCGCATTCCCATTTTGTTTACCCGGACGGTACTGCATGGTAAAATTGTATGGTTGGAGAGCTAGGCTCCACCGGAGTAGCCTGGGGTTGTCACCAGCTACCCGGTTGAGCCATACCAGGGGGTTGTGTTCGGTCATAAGGGTAAACGCTCGCCCATACAGATAGGGCTGAAGTTTCTTGAGGGCCCACACGAGGGCCAAGCACTCTTTTTCTACGGTGGCATAGCTGACTTCTCGGGGCAAAAGTTTACGGCTGAGGTATGCCACCAGGTGTTCCATGCCATCCGCCCCCACCTGGCTTAGCACGGCTCCCAGCCCAAACATGGAGGCATCTGTGTGGACAAGAAATTGTTTAGTGTAATCGGGTGCTGCCAACACAGGGGCCTCACTCAATGCCGCTTTGAGCTTCTGGAAAGCGTCCGTGCACTCTGGGGTCCAGGAGACCTGTTTGGGAAGGGCCTTTTTGGTAAGGTCCGTGAGGGGCTTGGTCAGGGCGCTATATTCTGGGACGAACTTTCTATAATACCCGGCCGTCCCTAAGAAAGCCAGTACCTGGGTTTTGGTCCGGGGTTGGGGCCAGTTAGCTATGGCCTCTACCTTAGCGGGCTCTGGGCGTTGTCTACCGGAGCCGACCCGGTGACCCAGATACTGGACCTCGGCTAGGCCTACGTGACATTTGTCGGGGTTTAAAGTGAGCCCGGCGAGGTGGATTCGTTCGAGTACCCTGGACACATGACCCAGATGGTCTCCCCATGTGCGGCTATAGATGGCAATATCATCTAGATACGCACATGCGAAGTCCTGAAACCCCTCCAGGAGCCTATCCGCCATCCGCTGAAACATAGCCGGGGCGTTCTTCATCCCAAAGGGCATAACCTTGAATTGGTATAGCCCAAAAGGGGTGACGAACGCCGACTTGGGGATGGCCGCAGGCTCCAAGGGGATCTGCCAATAACCCTTGCACAGGTCCAGGGTAGTCAAGTAGTTCCCCCCCGCCATACGGTCTAAGAGCTCATCTATTCTAGGCATGGGGTAGGCATTGGTTATGGTACGGTCGTTAAGCCGCCGGTAATCTACACAGAAGCGCGTAGTGCCGTCGCGCTTCGGTACTAGTACCACCGGGGAGGCCCAAGGACTTTGGGAGGGTTCTATTACCCCTAGCCTTAACATATCCCTTAACTCGGTGAGCATACTCTCACGTACTGCTTCCGGGATCCGATATCGCTGTTGCCGTAGGGGCGTCTCTCCCTGGGTTTCCACACGGTGGACCGCAGCGGAGGTATAGCCGGGGGTAGCGGAAAACATCTCTCGGTATCCCTGCAGCAGTTGAGTAGCCTCGCCTTTCTCCAGGTGGTCTAAATTTTGCCCCAAGCTCACTTGGTCAATAGTACAGGGGCTGGTATCCAGTAAGTCAGGGAGGGGTAGCCCTTCACTATCCTCTGTGGCGGGGGCGCACACGGCGCCCACCTCCTCTGTCCTTTCAAAATATGGTTTTAGCATGTTCACATGGAAGGCTTTGGTCAGCCTTTCATCTGAGCATTTGCTCACGATGTAGGTAGTCTCGCTAACCTGTTCCACTACCTTAAAGGGTCCCTGCCAGGCTGCTTGCAGCTTGTCCTTTTTAACGGGCCTCAGAGCCAGTACCTTCTGCCCTAAGTCCAGCACTCTATCCTGGGCCCTCCTATCGTACCACTTTTTCTGGTCCTCCTGGGCCGCCTGCAGGTTCTCCCGAACCGATTCGGTGAGGGCCCGCAGACGGTCCCGGAACTCCAGGACATACTGGACGATAGGGACTCCCCCCTCATCTGTATTGCCCTCCCAGTGTTCCCGTACGAGCTCCAGTGGGCCCCGAACTTTTCTCCCGTACAGGAGTTCGAAGGGGGAAAACCCAGTGGAGGCCTGGGGCACCTCACGGTAGGCAAACAGAAGGTGGGGAAGGAATTTTTCCCAATTCTTGTGGGACTCTGTAAAAGTTTTTAGCATCTGTTTTAGAGTGCCATTGAAACGTTCACAGAGCCCGTTAGTCTGGGGATGATACGGGGCGCTGAACAGGGGCTGCACTCCACAGCTCTGCCACAGTTGTTGCGTCAGGGTGGCTGTGAACTGCGTCCCCCGATCGGAGAGTATCTCCTGCGGGAAACCTACTCGGGTGAATATCTGAATAAGGGCCTCTGCCACGGTCTCGGCCTCTATATTGGTGAGGGCGACTGCCTCCGGGTATCTAGTGGCGTAGTCAACCACCGTTAGGATAAACTTTTTGCCCGACGGACTGGGGCGACTGAGGGGACCTATTAAATCCACCGCTACTCGGTGGAAGGGCTGTTCGATGATGGGTAGGGGGTGAAGCTTAGCCTTCCGAAGGTCTCCCCTTTTTCCTACCCTTTGGCATACATCACATGTCCTACAATAGTACTTTAGGTCCTGGGTAGCTCTGGGCCAGAAGAAGGTTTGAGTTAACCTGTCTCTGGTCTTTTTGACCCCTAAATGTCCTGCTAGGGGAATGTCATGACTGAGTTTTAACAACTCAGCCCGAAATTTACGGGGCACAACTAACTGTCTTTTTATGACCTGGGTAGCCCCCTGTCCCACCCCCTCGGTTACCCTATATAGCAACCCCTTATACCACTCAAATTTTTCGTGCGGGTTGTTCTCGGGGGTAGCGGCCGCGGCCTTCCTATAGCCTTCTAATGTGGGGTCAGTACGCTGTTCCTGTTCAAACCCCTGGGGGGTATCCCAGAAGGGTACGGGGGGATCGGGTAAAGGGGGTATTTCGACTCTTACCTGGTTCTCCTCAGAGTGCAGCGGAGCTTCCAGTCTGGCTTGAGCTCGGGTGGTAACCGGGTAGGCCTCGGCAGGGGGGTCTCGGGCTAGTTGAGAGGTTAGGCATCCCACATCATTTCCCAACAAAACCTCGGCGGGCAGTTCTTGCATAATCCCCACCTCCAGTTGTTTAGACCCGGAACCCCAATCAACAAACATATTAGCGGTGGGCAGTTTGTGAATAGCGCCCCCAGCCACCCTTACAGCGACTGTGCGTCCGGTGCGAGCTTGTGCTCTGACCGTGTGGGGCTGTACCACAGTCAAAGTAGCCCCAGAGTCTCTCAGCGCCCGGGCCCCCACGCCATCGACGGTAATCCATTGGCGGTGGTGGTCCCGGTTGTCCCCCCCAGCTTGTACTGGATTGACCTCATGTAATACGCTCCACTGTTCTTCGTGGTTAAGGGCAGGGCCTGTGTGTTCCTGTTGCACACAGTGAGCAGCTGCCCTGGGTTGTTGTGGGGCTGGCCGTTCCCAGCTTCCCCGGTTTAAGCGAGGGCACTGATGCTTGTAATGTCCTGGTTGCTTGCAGTAGTGACACACTGCAGGAGGTCGAGGTGTGTTTGCTGGGTTCGGTGGGGGGTGACCTATGGCAGGTCTAGGTGGAGCCGGGTTTGTTGGAGCTGTGTACTGAGGCTTAAATGGTGGTCTGCTCGCCCCTGGCTCCTTCCTCCTGTTATCCTGGTACTCGTCCGCTAGCCTAGCGGCCTCCTCCACGGTTTTTGGTTTCCTATCTTTTACCCAGTCTTTTATGTCCTCTGCAGTATGATTAAAAAATTGCTCCAGTATCACTAGTTGCAAAGCTTCTTCTAGGGTGGTTGCCTGGCAGCCCTTCATCCAATTGCGGGCTGCCCGCTGCAGGCGAAAAGCCCATTCCGTATGGGAATCTCTCCCAGTCTTTCTCAGGTCTCTAAACTTTTTCCGGTATGCCTCCGGAGTTACCGCATATCTGGCCAACAAAATGTCTTTTATTTTCTCATAATTATGTATGTCCCCCTCAGGTACTGCTCGCAGCGCCTCGGCTGCTCTACCTGACAATTTACTGCTGACGACTGCAGCCCATTTGGTGGAGTCTAATCCCTCCAGTGCACACTGGCGTTCAAAGTCTTGCAAGTAACTGTCAATTTCCATTTCATTGTCAACAAATGATTTAAACGCTGCATAATTTACCTTCTTTGGTATTTCCCCAATACTTCTCGGGGGGTGTAGCAAATCCCCCTGTGACGCTCTGTCCCGGTCATCTCGCTCTTTTTGCGCTTGTCTGGCTTGTGCTACGACCTGCAGTATCGCCTCTGAGGATGGATTGGGTCCCAATAAACTGAGTGTCCATCGGATGTCCTTTTGCATCACGGTTTCTTCCTCTTGATCCATCTCTGTATTACTGGTATTATCGCTCTGCATTAACTCCGCAATTAACATGGCTTTTGTTTTGTTACTTGCCACTCTGCCTCGAGCTTCCAGTAAGTCCTTTAGCGTGGTTCTTTTAAGTAGCTGGTACTGCTGAGCCATTCATTCCTTTGCTTGTTTTGAAATGTCCATTTGGGATTCGAATCCCTCCGCTTGCCACCAGTTGTAAGGAAATCAAGTATAGCTGAACCGCTTTGATAATTCCTCCTGCAATGCCAGCGTCTAAGGTAGTTCCAAGCAATGAGGTCCATAAGAAATATAACAGCTTCCCAAGATAATCCCCTTGGTAAAGCATACGAATTCCCAAATAACAGTCAGAGTCCAGAATCAGGATACAAGTAGATCTGAGGTCTGGAATCTCCAGCCTGCTTTTTATTAGGGTTACATACAAAAAATACACACCCAGGGGGAGGCATTAAATCACCAATCAGGTACAGGTTACAGCCCCTACCTCCCTCCCCTCTGATAAACAGTTAACTTCATTTTACCCCAGTTCTGGATGTACCCCAAAAACAGGGGGTACACCTTTAAATTGGGCACCGCTGGATAGTGCTCACTTGTGGGGACAATATGTCAAAAAATCAGTCCATTCGGATGAATGGTTCGGGAGTTATGGAGCACTAAAGTTTTGACCGACCGCACGGATCATCTAGCCGA